CTTCTCGTCAGCGTTTCCAACTTCTCGAATCCCCTAGCTTTGATGAACAACACAAGACGTATTGAAGTCCTTTGCCTTCTGGTATCCCTCATCGCTTCGTCTTTTGTCACTTCGCTCTGCGTACTCTCTTTTTTTCTCACTCTTTGTGTTCAATCCTTCCTTTTCGTCAGCGCTCGGATCGAAAATGATTGCCGCAGAATGTTTCTTCTTCTATGTGTTATTCCTATCTTCGCTATCTTTGTTTCTCATTCCGCCGTGGTACTGCCTGACGTTTTCAATAACAAATCCTTCGCGATCGAACTTTTGTTCCCTAGCGCGAAGTCGTGACGTGGAATCGAGGGCGTCTTCGCGTCGAATGTGCTGACTGGAATGGCGGTGCCCAAAACCTGCGATCTCGAAATCCACTTCCTTTCTGCCGCGTTGTGTTCGTTTCCTTCGCTTAGATGTTATTTTGCTCCCTCGGTTCTCTCGGGCGTTGAGATGAAACTGTGGCGAATGGTGCGACTTCTAGAATCTGTTCTTGCTATGGATTTTAAAGAATATGCCTCTTGTTTTTTAGATAAATAAAAAAAAGGAAAAGCCTTGGACTTTCAGCAAGTGTACAGACAACGGTGAACAGCCGGACGGTGTCAGTAGAGATCTGTTGCTCCTTGTCACCACGTCTGAGAACTCTGGTCCGCTGCTATTGCTGCTTGTTGCTATTGGCGAACATGATGCCTTTTGCTGACCATGTGCAACTTGTGTTGGTTTGCTTTGTTCTTAACAGAAGAAATTCGTCGTTTCTTTCGTCGTTTTTACGTTTCGTTTCGACGGCAGCAACGACGGCCACAATAATAATAATAATAATAATAATAATAATAATAATAATAATAATAATAATAATAATATAATAATAATAATAATATAGCTCAGTTTATTAAACTTTCGCCGAAGGAAAGAATAATAATAATATTATTAATATTATAGCTTAGTCTATTACATTTTCGCCGGAGAAAAGAATATGGACCATCTCCCCGTAGGGAACCCTGATGGGATGCGAAGAAGCAGTGATGCGCATGGCGTTGACCCGGTTGAAGCGGGCGTCGATGCGGGTGCTGGAAAAATAGACACCCTTAGTTCGGCGTACGTAACGAGCCCACGTATACGCAGCACTGCCACGGGAGAAAATTGCGCATGTGCAGTACGTAACGCATCGACTCCAGAAATGCGCGCTTACGCCCGATAAAAAAAAAAAAAACGCGGCGTGAGTAAACGTGACGAGGCGAAGCGTACGTGGCGTGAAGCTCTCGCGATATCTCAATTGATGTAGGAACCAGATAGCAAAACGGCAGCGATGCCGTCGAACGCTAGAGAGCATCAAAGCCGGCCCAAACCGAGTATATGTTACTTTGAGGGACGATGTTGCGCTGCTACCGCACGAGGGCGCTAACAAGCACCCAAAAGCTGTTTTATTTTCAAGAACGTACGTCTAGTTCAACTGAACGTATCTCGGTACGGTCAATACGGTGAGCTAAAAGTGTCCGTTGAGCGCTTCGCATGCAGCGTACGCAACGTATCGTGCCACGTACGTAGGCTCGTTACGTACGCCCAACTAAATGTGTCTGATGGTTTGAAGCAAAACTTGGTGTAGCGTTTACTCGAGTAAACGTTTGTTTCAAACGCAGACACGGAGGGCGGGTTGTGTTTTGTGTAAATTTTATCGCAGATAAACGAGCCGAAAAAGTGTTCCCACTCGACGTGCAGTTGAGCGTTGCGGGCGGTGGAGAGGGTGAAGTGGGAGAGAAGTGTTTAGTGTGTGGGCGGAGGAGCCGGCCGCTGCGGGCGCCGCGGCGAGCGTGCTGCGGGTGAGAGCGAGAGAGTGACGTCAGCTTGCACCTGGGAGGGAAGCGCGCGAGGAGAGCGTAACGTCAACGCGCAGCTGCAGCGTGGCCCTACTTGGCTGCGCTCCTGCACCTGCGGCGAGGCGAACGCGTTTTGGCGCCTTCGTACAAACGCACGTACATATGGCGTGACACACGGGAGTTAAAGAGCTGCTTCGCATTTAATAAGAAGGTGATAGTAACGCATTAGAAAATTGCAACATGTTCCGTACGCGCAACGAGCCTTCCCATACCAATTAATGTATGGACATGGCTTTGCACAGCGTAACGCAACCATGGTCATGTCTTGCCCTATGTCCGCTGGAGTGCTGAAGGTCACATTGTTATAGCATGATGAATGTGAAAACACGCCTCGGGACGCGTCTCCGAAGCCTGCGTTTGCGCGACCTTCGACTATGGCCAGGGGCGTAGCCAAGGGGCTGCGCACCGGGCCTGTGTCCCCCTTCCCCTAGAAATTTTTTTCGCCATAGAGTAAAGAGCCAAATATGACCATTTCAAGGGGCGCCACTCTCCCTTGAAATCACGGAGGTGTCCCCACCGTCTGCTCCAACGAAAAAAATTTCTGGATACGCCCCTGACTATGGCAACTTGGATTTTACGTGACCTCTGTTAAATAACTCCGACTTTTCGAAGTGCCCTGCAAGTGCTTTTGCTTCTCAATGCAGTGTTTCCAGCGCCGTATTATCCAATGCAAGGCTTCTGAAGTCGTGTACACTGTATACGTTAGAGATAATCCGGTCTCCCTCACCGAATGTACTCCTTTGTGCATGCGGTGACCGTCTTCTCTCTCTTTTTTTTCGCTTTTTGTTCCTCATTTCCTGATTCTCCGTGCAGCGTAGCAAACCGGACGCTTGCTTTCTCATCCCTATTTGCAGTGATGTCTAAATCACGTCAGCGTCAAATAGCCTGATATGATTGATTGATATGTGGGGTTTAACGTCCCAAAACCACCACATGATTATGAGAGATGCCGTAGTGGAGGGCTCCGGAAATTTCGACCACCTGGGGTTCTTTAACGTGCACCCAAATATGAGCACACAGGCCCACAACATTTCCGCCTCCATCGGAAATGCAGCCGCCGCAGCCGGGGTTCGATACCGTGACCTTCGGGTCAGCAGCCGAGTACCCTATAGCCACTAGACCACCGCGGTGGGGCAGCGTCAAATAGCCTGACGTAATAGTTTGTCGAAACGCCCTTATCTTAACTCACCGGATCGACCTTTTATTTTAGGGTCAATCGCTTTACAGAGTGAATGGAACGTAAACAGACATTCATTTGCAAGTCGAAGCACGGCCGACACCCTATCGTCAGTGACACGTTGTATCTCGAGGTAGTGATTGCGGGCGGTACCCGAAATTGCGTATTACCGCGCAGGCTGGAAACAGCTCCCGAACCTCATTGTTATGACCTGCACGCTTGCGGTAGACGGGCGTGCCGTGATTCTTTGCCGAGAATTCGCGCCAGTCATTAGCATAACAGCGATACGCACGCGCTGGAATGATTTGGTTGTGCGTATACAAGCGAACGCGTTGTTTGTTTCCGGATGGCAGCGTCGAAGGAGGTGTTACGGAGAAGCTGTGGCATCTGACTTGTGTGGCGTATCTCTAGTCGGGGACTAAAAATAGCCTCGCTAAATGGCGGAAGCGGCTCTGGAAAATTACCTCGCCACCGCATCTCCGCCGTAAAATGGCTCCGCAAAACTCGATCTACGTTCGCGACGACACTGCTGGCATGATCCTGCGGATCCACATTCCCCCACGCTTCTGCCGTACAGCGCACATTACATCTTTTTTTGCGGTATCGCTTATGTTTCGATTCCTCGCCGCCTTGATCCCTTCTTCAGTTTTCCCTCCTATCCCCGAAACTCTCTCACACGCCCTCTAGAAAAAGTCGGAGTTCAAACGCAGCCTCTCGGGGAATCTGATCGAAACTGAAATTAAATTTATCATCGCCCGAGCGCAAACCGACGTGATCCGAACTATAGGGACCACAGGGAGGAAGCTTGTGAGGAAGGGCAAATGAGAGAGAGAGAGCTATAATGCTGGCGGGTAGCGGTGTGGCTCTTCGTGGTACGGACGACGATCACGAAAGATTCGAAATGGTGGCAACGGGGGCGAAGTTCAAGGGGGAACACCGGCTGCAATCCGCATGAAGCGGGACGCAGGCGTGACGAAGCGCCATTACCGGAGAAGTACCCGCATGGGGTGACGCGCAACGTTGATGCTGCCCTGTGCATGCGAAGGTTGCTACTGCAGGGAAGGAAGGGGTGGCGTGGTGTTTACGAAGGGTTAGGGTTTCCGTCTTCCTTACCGGGGGTAGGCACTGAATATAGTTGTAGGTAAGCTTTGCGTGTGCGCGCATCGGTGTGAGTGGCTGTAGGTGGGAAGGGACAAAGGTGGTCGAATAAGAAATAAGTATAGAGGAGAGACGGGAAAGTTAACCAAAGTAAGTCTCCCGTTCGTTACCCTGTACTTGGGAAGGGTAACGGAGACAGAAAAAAAAAGAAAGACTGCGAGTGGCCAATGCTGTACATGGACAAGGAGACAACGGGAATGACAGCATATGAGTAAAAAGATAATAAAAGCTCTCTGATCGCCCGTGGAAGCGGTTTCGCACATATTGAGGTAGAGTAGGAGCAACCTCGAAGAAGGAGAGAAGTAACATGACAGGAGAGCAAAAATAAACCCACTTTGCGGAGAACAGTGCGTCGTCTCCTCCGGTATGCCGGGAAGGGCAGCTCTTTGAGAAAGGATGAAGAAACGGAGAGGGCCAGTACATTGCGGGAAAGGGTCGGGAGGAGCGGGAAAATCGCGAAGGCGCGTAGGGAATGGGGTGTTCGCCGCTGGCCGGCTGCAGCGGCGGCGCTGGCGAGGGAAGCATTCCCGCACACACACGCACCGCATCAATGCGACACGCAGGCGCAGAGAGCCCCGGCCCTCCGCTGCGCTCGCCAGCGCTCCTGCGCGCCCCCGGCTTCATCCGGGAAGCAGCATCGTCATAGCGGGAGGACGGCGACACTTTGTGCGCGTGCTTTTGTCCCTCTCTCTTTCCCTCTCTCACCCTCTAATTCATAGCCCGCCATCCCGCGCTGCAGTTTCTCGAGAGCTCCTGACCGTGGTGGCGGTCGAATTGGAGCGCCGTTTTCGGAAGAGGGGCTCGAGCCGCGGTGATCTCTTCGGGAAGCAGTCGGTGACTTTGATCACTCTTTTCACCGCCGACGAGTCCGCTGTTGAAGCACTCCTAGCAGCGGGTTGTCGGACGAGTCGATTTTTTTCCCCTTTGCAGTCGCGACAGATGAACGTGGCTGTATCGCGATTCCGCGCGCGTCAGCTGTCGTTGGCGAAGTTTCCACGGTCCGCGGGCTCGGCTCGTTGTCGTGCAATGTGCCCCGACGAAGACGAAACTGGTTGAGGTGGCTGTCGCGGCACCATAGACTGCTGTTGCCTTGCGCCGTCAATATGTAGATCCCAGTTCTTGCCTGGTGCTGCGGGCTTCGCCGCTGTCACAGACTTTTTCCGGGCTGCTCCCGAGTTCGCAGCGTTCGACGCGGCATGAAAGGGTGCTGAGGTGAGTCATCTCGTTACAGTTCGTGGAAGTCATGGTGTACTTTTGCCGCCTCCTTCTATAATCGCGTCGCGTGTGCTCTGTTATCAACTCGGTTGGCTCTAATGTGGCTAAACACTATCGTACAGTCAACTAGTAGCGGCCAAAACGTATTTTATGTTGCCCTTTACTAATTATATTCGTATATTTGCGCATTTAACGTATGCTGCCAAGGCTTAAGAGCGGCAAGTTGCATTGTATTACTTTATAATTGCCCCTTGAGCTACCGGGTCATACCATAATGTACTCCGTTCTTGATTAGAAAGCGCTTCTGACGGCACTGGAGCTTCTAATTGCTAATTAACGCTCGCTTATCAGAGCGTTGTTTGTTTGAGGTCTTTGCGAAAGTCATGAATGAGGACACCTTGGGAACGGAGTTTCCGCATGCGCTACGGACATCCATCTGCGCGCTTGTTTAACCAGTAAGTGCTTTAAGTTTGTTACAGGAAACTTAAGACGCCGAAACATGTGGCATTCGCCGAACGAATGTGTCGACAGATAAATTAGTAAGGCTGTATGGGAGCTTAAATTTGATCGGGCGCGTACAATTAATGTTTACTGCCCCGTTAATGAAAATGCAAGAGCGCGGACAAGTGAGGCGAGGGATGGCATGATTACGCTCTAACAAATCCTTTCTCTCTTCATTATGATTAGGTGTTGCAATCGTTCCTATCTGTGTCTTTAAGTGTAGGCGATAACCGCTGGTAATAAGGGCTGCAGCGCGAGCACGAAGGTGCTAGAAGAAATAGACGAAAGGCGAGGCAAATAAAGCAAAGAGAACAACACGAGCGCTGCCTCGCCTCTTTTTCTTTGCCTCGCCTTTTGTCTATTTCTTCTAGCACCTTCGTGCTTGCGCTGCAGACCTTATTACCATGAATTCAAACCAACTAGCCCAAATAGCCGTTCTTCTTCGATAACTACTGCTATTTTCTCTTCTTTTTTCATGGTACACACGAGGAATTAAAGTCAAGATGTAGCTTAACTCGGTGAATATATGATGTTCACGATTCTGTACAGCTTTGCAAATACTGGGACAGATCGCGCGACGTGAAGGATCGCGGTGCTTATATAGCCGAGGAAATGAACAGAAGCGCGAGGATTATCCACTGAAACAAGGGAGCACTCGGGAGGCTCCCGTCTGCATTAACAACTTTCCCCGTGTGACATTTCTGGCGGGAAGTATGGCGACGGGGATTTACGCGTCGTTAACTATAGGATGGTGACGAATTGTACGCTTTGATGTATATTTTCAAGTAGCGGAACGGCCCCTTCTTGAATTGAAGTTGGGCTTGAGTTGAGCCGCGAGGCGTCAGAGTGACATAGTATATCTAGCTTGTTTCCCTGTACGCTTTTAGGTAATGTGGATTGCACGGGCGTACTTCATTATACGCTCCTAATCCACTCTTAACTGAGGCAGTGTTTCTTATGTAAGCACGTTCTCTTTTTTGAAGCTGGCGTATTTCATTTTCCTAATTCGATTCGCCCGCTTCTCAGTTTGGTATATCTCTAGTAAATAACACGTTCTTTTCTCAGTGACGCGTAGATATAAATGTCGCTTCCGCTCGTCAACGTAGCAATTCTTCTTGTTTGTTTACTGAGTCATGGAGAATTTCTTTTTAATTAGAAGTATACACAAAGGTTATATAAAGTTGGATAGTTTCGTATGCCGAAGAGCATGTGTATGAGGTACACAAAGGGCGCGCACAAACGCGGGAAACAAGGGAAAGCAGGGACGTATGTCCGGTTTGCTACTCCGCATTGGGAAATAGGATAAGGGTGTGGAACGAGTGACCGATGCATAGAATCGTGCGCGCACTTGATGGAGCACAGGATGTTCTTTGGCGGTCGTAGAGACAGGTCTAGTTCAAGTACTTCAGTAGTGCCTTCGTTGCCTTGTTTGCTATTGAGGCACGTGTCCTCTATCGTAAGTATCTTGACAACAGAAAATGCTCTCGAGTCCATTTTGTTCAGAAACCTGCGAAGGTATCGCTGGGTGTTACTGCGAACGCAGCTTCATTGCATTTGTTCAATTGGATCTTGGGCCTTGCTGGAGTCAAATGTAGAGGTCCAGGAAAGCTACATGGAGTGTTTGTTATAACTATCTTCGTGCATGGTCCATGTGGCTCTCGCTCAAATATTATATGATGCAATGGCTATTTTTCAATGCGCTAATCAGTTCTGTAGAAGCGAAAAGTTCCTTTGTGTCTTGAGTTTGGGGCTACTAGATATAGGGGACTAGTTATAACGATGTGTTCAATCAACTGCATTACTTAATAGGATCCTCGCATTTTTTTACTTTTATCCGCTCCTATTTGTGTTCCACATGCGCTTTATCACTATTTTGAAACTGACCTCGGAGAGCTTCGCCCACATAAATACAACAGTCACCATATCGTTGAACAAATAATTCTCCAATATTTCCTTCTTCTGTGAACTGTTCGAAAGACTTAAAAACAATAATTATTTATATTTATTAATTTTGTATTGCTTCCTACTTATTTGAGAGCAGGTGTTCGCATCTGCTATGTCTTTCATGATATCCCATTTATTGCTTAGACCGAACCGAAGATGTTAAATTATGTTAATAAAACTGCGATTTGAGCTTTGCGTCGTGCTCGACACGCCTTTTGTCAGTTACAAGGAAATACAATTGTTACTGCAAGAAAAAAAAACATGTTTCTGTTGATAAACGTAGTTATATTCGGGCATCTTGAATGTAATTTTTTTTTTCGTCTTCCTAGTGGCAAAGTGCTTGTACCACGTTTTCCTGGCATGCAAGGGTGTATGGAGTGAGCAGTTTTTGTGCTCTTTTTTTTGTTGTTGCGTACTTTGCAGCAGTAAGTTCACTACACTTTGGAAGATCTAAAGAAGAAAAGATTTATCCTTCCAGGATTGCCTCGGACTAAAAGAAAGCGATGAATATCTCATTGGCAAACACCGTCACGGCTGACAGTTCCTATATTTGGGAGGATAAAAGTCCACTCTATAGCATTGTGGTAGTAAAATTTTGAACCGTGAGTGGGGAAGTCCGTCAGGAAAAAGCTTCTTACCTCCTCAATATTTCTTGTGGGCATTTACTCTAGTATCTTTATGGCGTGGGGGCGAGTCGTTTCGTGTGGGAATAAAATGAAAAAGCTAATAAAAACAGCAAAAAAGCACCGAGAGCTTTGCCTGCTCGTAGTGGAAATAAACAGTGGCGTATTTGGGTGGAGGTTTCCTGTGGAAAGATGGCTGGCTGCACTGTCCTGATGCGCCAAGAAAAGCCGGTGCACTAGGAGCCTTCATACGGGAGCCTTGAATACAGAGTTGCACCTCTATGCCAAGTGTGTGTGTGTGTGTGTGTGTGTGTGTGTGTGTGTGTGTGTGTGTGTGTGTGTGTGTGTGTGTGTGCTTTTTCCGCCCCCTATATGTAAAAATAACTAAAAGGAAAAAGGGGGTAGCCCGTACCACCAGGAGGTATAACAGGCTCAAGCCAATCTAACATAAATGAAGAGGGGAAAGTTCCCAAATTTTTATTTTTATTTGAAAAAGCCAATTAGTTAAAAAAAAATAACATGGGTAAAACCTAGTGAGTGCAGCATGAAACTGTAATAAATAAACTAGTTAGCTTCTCAGGAATGAGCAGGTCGATATGCAGCAGCAGTGTATTTCCCCCACTTGAGTTTTTGGAGTTCGTGTGTGTGTGTGTGTGTGTGTGCGTGTGTGTGTGTGTGTGTGTGTTTATTTTAAATGCATTGTCGTTGAATGCAGAAAGTCCAAAAACAAACAACGAAGTGGTATGCGAGCCAGTGGTCTTGAGGATGAGTAAACGTTGACGAGGATGGTAGCAGTGGCCTCTGTGATGTCGAAGCCCATTTCTTCACCAGGTGTCATGTAGCCAGGCACGTCGGGCTGTCGTTCCAACCAGCGATGCAGCAGGGAACCTTGGGCAGCCTGTTTGCCGCTGCGAACTTAGACAAGGCGCCATTCGCAATAGTAACAAGCTTAAAAAAAAAGGGGGGGGGGCAGGATTAGGTACTTGCGCAAGCGTTGCGAATCCTATGGTTCGAGTACTTAGGGAAAATGGAGCAGTGATGCTATCGTTATCAGTCGCCGAGGTTTTCCCCCACCTTTGTTGGCATAACTGCGACTGTAATCGAGAGCACTCACGCAAAAGTTGTGATATGGAGGTGATTCGGAGTATGAAGCGACGTCCTGATAAAGTGTTGGTAGCTAATACGTGTCATGTGGATGTCATAGAAACAGAGTTGCGCATGACAGTCACTAACTGAAGTAGATACGCGCGAGATTTTCTATTGGTCAATAGCCCATAATAATGCGCAGGTAGTGTTGTATCACTTTTGGGCACACGTAAATGGGTCACAATGTGTTGTGTGTTTGGGCATTCATTAAAGTAGTGTTGTTCGCTCAAGCAAGGCGCACCGCACATACACCTGTCCGATGCAGTTATATTGAATCGATGAAGATAATACTGAAAGTGTCCGTGACCAGATAATAAGTGTGTTAGGTTTTTAGGAGGCGGGAACCATTGAGGAATTTTGTACGGACTTGTGATCCAATGAAATAGCGTTGTCTCAGGTCCCTCAGTCTGCCAATGGGTGTGCCAATATGAATTCAAGATTTTATGAAACTGAGTTCGTACTGACCGAATAGATATTTTGGCGTAACGCACGAAGCCTGATTTCCCTCCTAATGCAGCTGCAGCGTCAGCTAGCTCATTTCCCAAAATTCCCATATGGCCAGGTACATGAAACATTTTTATAATTTTGCCTGACGAGATTATATGGTTAAGAAGCAGCTTAATGTTCCGAATTCTTTCATCGTTATCAGTGAGACTTGAAAGCTTCATTAGAAGCGATAGACAGTCTGTGTAAATGTGGGCTGGCGTGTTAAAGTTGTTTGTAAAAACGAAATGAAGAGCTTCTTGGAATGCTATTAATTCCGTGTCGTATGCGCTTGAAGCG